TCGTCGTAGTCGCCTTAAAAAAACGAAACAGCTCTTGGTGTAGTACGCGAACAGAGTCTTGGCGTTGCCGTCACGGTCCATTAGTTCGTAGTAGACTGGCCGCGTAGTCAAAACGAAAAATGCCTATTTACTCCAGGTAGACGGAGACCGGTTTCGTTACCGGTTGGTACATTTCTAACAAACATTCAGGCAAAGGCCAGTAAAAGTTGAGACGGGAGCCGGGTTTTTATCGATGTTTGCCATCCTTATATGTAAGCCATCGTAAATTCATGGTTTGCCGGAGTTGCGTTCAATTTAAATCTCCGAACTTCTGAAGCTGAGATATTTTATGAATGAAGGCTTGTATCGCAGTCTAGAATTTAAAAACGGGTCACCAAATAATGAATTAGGTGCTAAATGTTTATTTAATGCTGGGTAAGTTAAAAACAGACATTCCGTCAGAGTGGGATTCATTCAAAAATTTGAGGGGGTTCGCTAGAAAACAGGGGGGTTCACTAGAAAAGGGGGGTTCGCCCGAACCATAAAAATCCCCCCTGACTATGGGCCTGTTACCATGTCATTATTTTTTCTAAAGGACGTCTTTGTATTTAATGCTTTGAGTGTCTCTGCTGAACAGTCCTTGTGAGGAATTATTGTGCAGTTTGGGGCGGCCGGACAAGAATTTTTCAAACGGAGTGGGGTGGGATGGGCACAATAGTTTTAGAATAATCGAGTTGCACATAACATTGCAATGAAATAAAAAAAAAAACTGTGGCAAAACGGGGTGGGCACGTCCCCACCCCCTCCCTTACATTTGCCCTCCTTCTCCCTTACTGGATCCAGGCCTGTTGATATGCGGCCTACATTGGAGTAGGGCTCTTGTACGTGAAAATACAGCATATAAACAGTAGGCCTAGCCTAGTTGGTTGAGGGAAATGTTTCTCTTGAATCAAGTAGGTGGATGCATGTAAGGCTGTAGGTAGTATCTATTATTTGTTCTAACATTCAAAACAGCCCGTATAGTAGATAAACATTGGTGAAGCTGGCTTGACCCTAAACTTACACCTAATGCCTGCATTTCGGAAGAATAGCCATAATGTATTGATCCCACCCGGATTCTTGTATCATAGGCTAGGCCTGTAGGGCCGCAGGCTAGACCAAAGAGTATATATTAGACCGGCAGGGATTTTTTTCCCCTGGACGTTTAAGGCAGTGACGATTGGTGGAGCTACTCACGTGAAGTTTTTCAGCCAGTCTAAAGTATAAATTTCATGCCCTCCACCCACCCTTATTATTAACCCAATTTTCCATCCATTAAATCCACTCTTATTATTTAAAGTTTATTAATGTTATCACCTACCGACCATTAAAATATCTATCACCCACCCTTTAGGTTTCCTACAGCTACAACCCTGGTATGTGATATATTAATAATTATAGTCAACCTTCTTTTGCATAATTTGCGTCTTGATGTCCAGCAACAAATCTAGATGTGGTTTCTTTCTCGTGGGCTGCTATGGCATGCGCTACCTCTAACTCTGAAACTACACTAGGCCTACATTGCCTTCATCGAGGCCTAATTTATCTTATTTTTTTATATTTATTTTCTCTTTCACATCCAAATCTTTTTCATCAATGATCTACACGGCGGATCTTTTCCGGAAAAAAATCTTCGTCATCGTCGGCAAAATCCATTGTCATTCCTACCTTTCCACCAGCCTAGGCCCCGCTAATTAGTGAATTACACTACCACCGCACTTGCCTTGGAAAATCAGTTTGTGGTTGCCGAGAAGTTTTAGTTAATTATAAATATTCATGACCGAACTCAGTGTAGTGTGACGGCTAATGAGTTTACATCAGGCATGAGGCGACTGAGACCGAGAAATAAGAGACTACCGTAGATAAAGTGCCTTGCCCAAGGAGTTTCGAACCCCTGACTTCGAGGTTGGGAGTCCAAGCCACAACCGATGCGCCAACCGTTTCTACTTGGCCTAATGGCAGACACGAGTTTTTGCAACTAGGCCTATATAGTTTATTGTACTAAAGAACAAAATTTGATAGCCTGGACAGGGCTTTACAGGAACGATAAGGTTGAGTCGCCGTGCCCAAAATTATGTAGTTTACGAAAGAGCCAAATGCGTCATGGTTCGATTTCCGCCGCAAGGCCTCATTTGCTCCACCGTTTAATCACAAAGTTTGGCCTATCAATCATTACATTATTTTCGGAGTTCATTCATTTTGGTAAAGTAATCGTAAATGATTCATGACGCTAGAGTTTAGCAGGACTACGGTAAAGTTTATTGTCCCATGAAGAAATGGCTATATAAACTTGTTAATTTTGTTAAAATAAAACAAATACGTCACATTTTTCATAGAAAAATATCAATTACTTTATTGTTATTCAAAATTGGGTTTTTCTAAAAAATGTTTCATAACAATGCTATAGGCCTATGTAAGAAATTACAGTTTCCTTACATGAAAAATAAACTGAAAGTAACCCAATGTTAATAAATAACATTTATGTTATGTGGTTTTGTACCGGACACGTGCATCATACACACATTGTATTAAAGTGTTAGTCATATTACCCAGAGCATTCTAAGCCTCCGAGTGTGAGGTAGGCCGTTTTCGATCCAGCTGCATCGCCCAAGTAAACTCTTTTGATTGGTAGGATATTTTTGTCCGTCATGTAGCCAGCATCTGTTTGATCGGCTTCGACTGAACTAGGTCCGTCGCAGTTGCATTTCGTATGTTCGGTAATACATGAATCTTAGCAAGAAACAGTAAATATTAATTTACCAAAATAATAAAACAACATTAATATTTATAGGCCTATACGTTGATCTCTGTTCTTTGAAAGGGTATAATAGAGAACCGTCCAGTACGTGTAGAAGAGAGTGAAGAGAAGTGTATTATGTATAAATCATGAAACTCTACAATAAATAGGCCTAAATGAATATATATAAATTTTTAACTTTAAAGAGGACTTTTATGGTAAATTGCCCAAAAAGGAACAGCGCTGGATCTCGACACATGCTCTCTATATGTATATACCTATATACATATTATATATATATGTATATATATATATATAAGAATAATATATATATATATATATATATATACATAAATACATACATATATATATATATATATATATATATTATCATAAATCCACGTGTGTTCTTGAAATTATATAAAAGGCGTTGAGATTTTGACACTTAAACATCTCTCAGGTCTACTCGATCGACCGCAGTATGCGAGATGCGAAGTACAAAAACTAAACTCATTAGAGAGGGCAAACTTTATTAACTTCATAAGTACAGTATACATAAAAGCGAGAGCATTCCAGCGGATGCGATCTACAACCTCTGAATTTGCCTAGTAACGATGAATTCGTCGAGAAAATGGTAATCTCCTATGAGAAAAAGTATTTCTCTTTTTTTTTTTATCCTTTTGCGTAAAACTAAAGATTATGCCAATATTTTTCCATTATTTATAATAATTAGAGTAAGCATATTTTTTCTAAAAAAATTATTTTTTTTAGTGAAATTTTGCCGGGAATGGGGCTTTAATGTTGAAGAAGGCTACCCGTGCTGCCGAATGAAGATGAGAAAAACCACATTCAGTAAACTTACCGGTGATACCGCATTCACATGACGTCGAATTGACCGGTGCGCCTCCCCAACTTATCACTACTTCATCATCACGTGATACGAGCCATCCTCGATGTTTACCATATCGATGATGGAAAGCCAGAAGTTTCGAACCTTGACAGGTATACTGTTCGGGTAAATGTAAAGAATTTTCATTAATACCAAATGAGAGAGAGAAATAAAAATTATACAGAGGCGGGGGAATGTGACGGGAAAGGCTAAAGAGGGAGGTAGGAAGAAATAGAAAAAGAAAGAGCAAACATTTATATTATTTCATAAAATAGATTATAGATCCAATATACCTGAATATATTGTTGGCACGTATTTGAAATTTCGACTAACGCAGCCATTTGTTGGAACGTTGGTTCATACGTCGGCTCATACACGAAAGATCCAGGACGGTTATCTCCATGTACTTCTATCGGCATTTCCAACTCTTCGCCAATCAGAACCAACGTTACGCCTGAAATTTAGTCATGCGTAAATTACTGTAAACTGCTTTTATGCAATGAGAAGAATCATGTACGGTACTCTTTAGACACAAATCCAATGAAGGTTCATTTAGACGAGTGCTTTTGTCGCGTGCTTTTATCACCAATGGAGGTGATAATGATAATAGGCCTGATAATTACTGATAGTAAATTTCTAAGAAAAGCATTATTATAACCAATATGATTTGAACCCCAAGACTCACCGATTACCGTTCGGGTGCTCTAACAACTAAAGTATGAGGCAGTTGGTATACTTCCTTGGGTTTCCCTATTAAGACAATTGTTCTCAATGTATTGCGTAATACATATTGAATAAATTGCAAAGTAAACTTCGGTATGGAGAAACACATGGACTAATAATATTACAATATAAGAAAGACGTTTGTATATTTGTGGGGAAAAAAATCCAGGTGAGTACACAAGCATGACTTCACAGGTCAGTTGGTGTCCAAACGGTAATGGCAGATTCTTAGCTTCGAATAGCAATGGGGACAATGTTTACCTTGCCCATGTGTCATACTACAGTACACGAAGTATGATTCGATTTCACCATCTAAATCCGGGTCTATAATGTACATCCCACTGATGTCAAATCCTTCAACATAGATTTCCTGGCATGATCTAAAATAAATCGGATTTCGGAAACAGGCAACTGGTTTGGTAACCATGGGACTAGCGTAGTATACTGTTGGTATTTTTATACCACGGACAGATTCTGTATAGTCTGGTTCAGATGTTGGCTTGCGGATATCTGGTTTCGGCGGCAGTTGGTTAGGTCCTTGTTGATGAACCACTTCGTCTGGTTGTGAGTTGTATGAATCTAAAGTGTCATTAGCGGTAGCTATAATATTAAAAGAATGTTCTCACTAAAGGTTTCATTCTGGAGATGACAATAAACATAATACGACACCCCGTCCCCCCACAACCCCCCCCCCCCCGAAAATAGACATATCAACAACAATAAAGAAGATGATGATGTTGATGATGATGACGATGATGACAATGATGATGTTGGTGAAGGTAGTGATGATGATGAATGAATAGCAACTAATGACAATTATGAATCTAAGAAATATTTTCCAATTTTGAAACATCTTTTGTTTGATTAATTGTAAATTAAACGTTGTAATAATAAAAGTAAATTGATGGCCACTATGTGAACACAAAAAATGATAAGACTGAATATCAAATCGAATTTTATGTTGAAACTATGTACCATTAATTAGTATTAATTTTGTAGGGATTATTAAAATTATAGGGATGTAAAGACAGTGCATGGTAAGTTAAATATACCTTCCAGAAGCGTTTGAATTTGATTCATTTTATGTTGTGTATGCAGTGTAACCTGATTTTCGACAGACGACATCTTGGATTGGATGAAATTCGATGCGTTTAATGCAGATGAGTTAAATTGTCCAATCATATTCCGCATTATATTTCGCTGATTATTTGCTATTTCTATAATATTGATATTGGTCAAACCTGTTTGTTCAGACAACCCTGATACTATTAGAAGCAAAAGTGATGTCACAAACACAAACATAGTTGCCTGTAAGATAAAGAAAACACAGAGCAACGTTTAAAGATTTTACAGATGATCTTTATTATATACTTATTGTGGTACGAAATGTGCAACAAGCAGGCAGACGACTGAAAACGTTAAACTCACACACATCAAAAAGATGAAGCACGATAAACATGAGATAAAAAATATAAACAGCAAAAAAAATATATATATATAAATATATATATAGGCCCCTGTCTCTTATACACATCTAGATGTGTATAAGAGACAGGAATTAATTGATTTAAAAATTACTGAATTTAGTTTTGGTGCCATACACCACACGATATGTATCAGCTCTAGGCCTATGCACCTACAGGAAACCAGACTGGATTTTCGACAAGGTCTTTCATATGTGTTAAAACAATGGACGTACAGTTCTACCTAGTGGTAGCCTGATCGCCTGATTTTCTTTTGAGACTGTGAAGTATTCTATAACGGCTTTAGAAAAACTACAATTTCCATCAATTTGTATCATGTGGTATAGATCATCGAGCAACTATATATGAACAAGCTCCATTGTTGGATCTAGAAGCTATATACTTCTTACTAAAATATATATTATATAATTTAAGATGGAGTACGGTATACTCACGTAAGTTCATAGGATGCAGCGGCCGCGAAGTGTAGCTATCTGACACAAAGCATAAATCCACCGGAAGAAGCTGCACGTGACGTACGACCTATATCTAATGTCAGTTGCTATTGTCATTGATCTTATGGAGTAAAATAAGAAATGTTTCTTAATATCTCGCTTTTAAAACTGTTGAATTCTGTCCTTGAAGTTTTCGAAATAGGCCTATCTAATTTTGGATAAATTGAATCTTCATCTCTTTGTCATTGTCATGTTTTTACTTATTAAATGCAAGGAGGATTTTTATACCTCCTTGTTAAATGTGTCTGTTGTTTTTTTGTTGTGTACAAATGTATTTTACCAGGGAGTTGTTGTATATAACAACTCCCCTGATTTTGCTAAATTAACTTAATGCGTTTGTAGTTTTCCGTGTGACGTGTAAAGATGTATTTCACTAAGTTATCTTTTGCGTTTGTAGTTTTTTGTGTGACGTTTACAAATGTATTTTACTAAGTTAACTTAATGCGTTTGTAGTTTCTGTGTGACGTATGCAAAGGTATTTTACTAAGTTAACTTTAATGTGTTTATAGTTTCCTTTGTGACGTGTACACATGTATTTTACTTGTTTTCTGTGTACAAATGTATCTTAATGCGTTTATAGTTGTCTGTGTGACATGTATTTTACGAAGTTAATTTAATGCGTTTGTAGTTTCTGTGTGACGTGAACAAATATATTTTACTAAGTTAACTTAGTTCGTTTGTAGTTTTTTGTGTGACGTGTACAAATTTATTTTACTAAATTAACTTTTGCGTTGGTAGTTTTCCGTGTGATGTGTACAAATGTATTTTACTAAGTTAAGGGGGCTCATGACTGTCAGCTTTTACTTTAAGATATCCTCATTAAGAAAAAAGTTTTTAAAAATCATGAACTGTATACCTTGAATCGTTTGGTAAAATACGCGGTTCAAATTCTGTATTATTTTGACCAACAATTGTTTTTATTTTATTTCTATTGTTGTTATAAGAAATTATAGAGCAAAACATTTAAACTCCAAATTTACACATTTACTCGGCCTACATCTTTTTTCCACTCCCTAGCTTGCGTTATAAAATATTTCTACAAAAAGGAAAAAGGTCAAATGTTAAGTTTGATTGACACTCCTGAAAGGTCAATTTATAATATTTTATTTTACACTAGACAGCTAGTCATTTCACAATGCGAGCCGATGGATCAAAAATTGAAGACGTAATCTAAAAATGTACGAGTCTGTCACCAAGTAGCAATATTGAATTTTAGTGTTAATTTATTATCTTTATTTATTTATTATTTATTTCATTAATTTCGGCAACAAAATAAAGTACAAAAGAAATGACATAATTCAGAGTACTGTAATTCCGGGGAGCAGCAAGTGGAATGATCCACATGATGTGCAAGTCCCGGAGTGGATACCATCTTAGTAGCAGACAGAGCCAAAATATATAAACCTAATAAATATAATAAAAATAAAATATGTAAAAACAATTGCATCTGATACGATTACACGTTTATAACCGCAGCAATTCAGACAGAGGAAGTATTATTTGCGTGTACACCGAAAATCAAGTTTGTATTAACTAAACCTATAAAGCAAAACCAAATTATTTCAACGTAACATCTCAGCAAACAATGAATTCCAATTAGATTAAGTACACAAAGATGATACAACTAATAGTTCTAAGTGTTTTTTTTTTATTTTTTGTTTTTTGTTTTGGTTTTGCTAAGTGATTGCGGCCCACTACATAAGCAGTTCTGAATATTGTCTTTTGTTGAGAATTTTGTTTCGTTGAGTTCTAATAATTGAGTTGAAATAGCTTTACATCACAACCAATCAAATAATGGCCATGCATTGGATGTTTTCATTTCAACGGGAATGAAAGATTAAAATCAGACCTCAGCAAGGGCAAAGGTTCCTATGCAGCTATTGGTAAAATAATACACGTTTGTTGGTGCTTGTGATGGTAATATAGGACAGGACAGGCATTAAATCCATGAACAAATCCTAAGACATAGCACATCTAGATGCCCGGAAATGGCACTCCAGAACTGAAAAACTGCTATTTTTAAGGCAGTGTTCTGTGAAAAAATATGGGCTTCTCACTGGTAAATGTTTCCGTACCCCTTCCCCAAGGGATGGATCCAGGACTTATCTTTAAAGACAGCTCAAAATATACATATTTAAAAATTCTTAATGCAGGTAGAAATGTTAGGGATTTTTTAATGTCCCCTAATCTAAAGCAATAGTTATCGTATTTTTGGTACATTAAATAGAGTCCAATTATCATTTGGAGTGGTCAGGCAAATCCACTCTACCATTGACGTTTGACTATTCCAAGTCTTGGGGTTATAAAGTTCTGGTGTATTGCTTTATCCAAAAATGTTTTCAAGCAATAGGGCGCAATTACATCACCAATACTATATTGTATGCAAAAATTCATAACCAACAGGTGTCCGAAAACTCTGGAAATTCAAGTTTGCTTGTTTAAAAACTGATGATGTCACCATCACAGATGTGTGGATGAACATGCAAAGGTTGCTACAAGCTAATTCATAGGGTGTTTCTGCTGAATAATACCAAAAACAGGTGTTTTTTTATAAACGGTTAAATGCCTTCTGAACGCGTTTCTAGTGAAAATTTCAACTAATAAAAACATGGTAATGCGAGCATTGGCAGGTGGGCGGAGCTTAAATGACGGTCACCAACGGAAGTTGAAGCTGACCTTACTTCCTGCGAGCTACAGCGCATGCTGCGAAAGAAGTAAACAACACACCACGAAAGTATGAAAAAAGTTGGTATGATCTTCAAGCATGTCATCTTATTGGTTTAATTTTTTTCTTCGCCCCAAATTTCCCGCGGACGAGTGATCAAACCAACGAAAAGGTCACCGACGGGTCATGGGTAACACGGTATTGCATTGTAGCTGAAAAGTGTACCACAAAACACGCGTTTTCTGAATGCAAACCCTATAACGAATGCGTGTAAAAACACGCATTTTTAGAACGCATTCCTAACCGTGATTTTGTTTTGTGGCCTGTTTCTACTGGGGAAAAAACACAGGTTTCTTAATAACCGTTTAAAAACATGTGTTCTTTTGCTCAGCAGAAACAGGCCCATAGTTAGAAATGTGCATGCTCATATCAGGGTCAATTGACATAAACACCATACACACAACACAGGTTTATGTCGATAGACCTCGACTGGCATTGGATACGAGCAAGCACAGCTCCAAACACGAATTGGCTTAATGCTTTACAACATAGGAACCAATATTATGATGAAAACTTGAGACAAATAATCCACAATGACCAATCGTATAATTATCATTCTTTTAATACAAGCACCAAATTGAAACCAAAGGGCATCTGAGATGACTCCATATTTATTCACGCAGGCTTTATTTTAAAGGAATTACAAAATAAGTAGTAAGTTCTACACAAATACTTTTATAATAATTCAAAGTTAATTTGTCAATACTCAATTTTACAGAAAACATTCTACTTCTCAGTTTGTAAGTTAATGCTGATTAGTAGAGGATCCCAAGTTGAGAAGAAACGTTTCTTTTGTCAAATTTTAAATAAAACTCATCTAAACTCTAAAGTGAACTCTAAAATTCTAATAAATATCAAGGTTATACTTTAAAAAGAATAAGTAAAATAAGTTCAAATTGATAGTAAATATTGTCCATATTTTTTATTTTATTTGTCAATAGAGGGCAGCAGAATGATAAAATAATCTGTTCTTAAATGCTTCACTGGCTTAAATACTTTGTAATGTAATGTTAGGCAAAACAACACTGCAAAACATATTACTATATCTAAACTACATAGGAACATATTTATTTAGAATTGTATTTTAAAATGTATATACCATAAGTTGTTATTATAATTTATGATGATTATATTTAATAATAGCAGTTAGACTAAGCAATGATGATTATTATTATAGTAGATTATTAAATTTGTTTTGGATAACATAGATTCTCTCAGTATTTCACCCTGTTACATGCTAAGAAACCTGAAAAATGTTTTAATGCTATTTCAATACCAAAACACTATTAATACGGTATCATAATCATTTATTAATAAACTATCATATTATCCACTTACATGTTTACTAAAATAAAGCACCTAAAAAACTATTAATAATGTCTTCAATATCATGATTACCTGTTTGGGTCACTGAAGGTCAATGACCTTGTCAAACGTTTCTATCCTGTCCACCACCGAGATTCAAATTTTTTTTTTTTAATTTGAAAAAAAAAAAATTAATTAGTATTTTGATGATTTTAAATTTTCTTAGAAATTGATATAAATTCTAAATGTATTTAGAGAGTCTTTTGATATAATCTTAATCTATACAGCTAAAATGTGAAAATACAAGCTAATTCAGACTGAATCAATCAATTCTTTACTAATTAACTTTAATTAGCCACTGGTGTCCAACTGGATGTTTACGAATACATTGACATCTGAAGAAACTGTAATAAAACAAAAAAACTTCACTTATTATCTAACTTTTATTAATTAATAAATTATTAATTTTTATCACTCCTCTATTGTTTTTGAAAAAATTTAGTAAAAAAAAAAAATTCTAAAATCAATGAAGCAATAAATAATGTTTTCAAAACTTTCAATAATTCAAATTAATATCCATATTATTTTGTAGTCTTTCCATATAATTCATTTAAATTTGTAAATATTTCTTTAATGATTTGTAATTAATAACAATACCTGTAATTGGTTAATATTTTTGTATTTTACTACATTAATATTTTAATTGACATGTTCAAAATTGCATATGTGAGGTCTCACTACAAAATGAGTCTCATCGTTAGAAAATCAAAAAATGAGTTTATATTACATTTTGGTAGATCACATTATAAGCTTTAATTTGGTCTTTGAATGGCATCCCTAGGATAAATAGATCCAGAGATGTTAGCATTTAAAGTTTAGGTGTATGAGAACCAGGTTTTGAGAAAATCGGCCCCAAAGATAAACTAACCTGTACAAATAATAGGACTAGAATTACAGAATATGCGAAGAGAACACTGTTTTAGTAATAAAATTCACTTAAAAAGTACACAATCATAAAATATAAGTATCAA